GTGGGACAAGTCATTTCACATTTTATAGAGCCAAGTGGTTGTGAGGGTGTGCAGAGGGCTGAGTTTTATAAAGCCCAGTGGGGGCAATATGACTAATAGTTGGCTTTGCTGAGAGGAAAAAGAAGAGCAAGAGAGATTAAGTGGAGGAGAGGATTAAGAGAGTCAAGAAAATAAGCAGGAACAAGGCAAACTGGCAGAGATGTGATGGTGGAGGCCGGTTTGGAGGCGATGAAGAACCATCAGCTGTGGACAGGCCAGACTGGACGGCGGGGAAATAAAGGCAGGAAACGGGACTGCCTGACTATGAGAGTTTGCCATTAGAGATAATAGTGTGTGCGTGTGTGTGTAAGAGAGGGAGAAATGGCTGGTGGCTTTTTGCAGACATACTTAGAGCGGTGTATGTGGGAGGGAATGAGATATAGAGGCCAGTGCAGCTGAGTGGTGTTGATTGGCCTGTTTGAAAACACATGAACTGCAGACGGTGAGGGAGAGAAACCCTGTGCGCTGGGATAAAGTGTCGCTCTGCGCCGTGCCACGCTGCAGCCCAAACCACATTAGAGCAAATGAATCCATTCCACCTCCTGTTATGGCAGCTCCCACTTGGGGCCACGGGAAGGAGGAGGAGGAGAGCTAAAAGGAGGAAGAGAGGAGGGGGTGCGAGAGTGGCAGGAGTGTTGAGATATGAGGGATGAGGAGAGGAAAATGATCGAACAGAAAATGGAAGGTGGTGTTAGGGAAGTGGCATGCTGGGTGGCTCTAATGATGTCTGAGGGCTACAGAGGAGAAGAGCATAAAGCACACAGAGAGGTAGAGAGGCCAGGGGCTTCAGGGGTGAAGGGGGGGAGGTGTGGTCCTGAAAAGGAGAGGAGGATTTTCTTCTCTGTCAAGGGAGCAGGAGGAATAGTTTCCTCCTCTCCTTAATGAAGTTGATATCATGCCAAACTTAACAGCAATTGCTTTTTTATATTCTGCATCGGTGTCCTCTGCACTTTAGTCTCTCAATAACCAGAGCTTTAGAAGAGAGAGCAGCAGCACCTTCCCCTAATGTGCCTTTACTCATTTTGTAGAAGAAGGTGCCATCCAGAGCAGCAAATCTCTTTACGTATTGAATGTACCTCCTTCTCAAGGCTTTTTTGAAATCCATTCAACCCTAAATCTTAAAAAAGTCATCAACATCAACAACTTTAAAGAAAAATATTCCCTTAAAGCTCAGTTTGAAACTCACAAGTTTCTCCGGGATGTTTAGTTGGTAATAGGACTGATTAGTTTCCTTTGTTGCTTTGCCATGACGGCATTTTAACCTTGGATTAATCCCATGAAATAAAGTTATTAATTTCTTTTAAAAATATTTGCGCACTTCTGTAAGTGTCCTTACGTTGATAAACGCGTTGAATGAAGCATAAACCAAACAGGCAAGGGATCTGAATGTTTGAAGCAACCTTTGAAAAGCAGTCAAAAAGAAAATGGAAGAGGATACTCTTCCATCAATCAAACTATTTTATAAATGGATAAACATGGCAGCAAAGTGTCCCCAGAATGTTGCTACTGGCAAAACTGCTTGTTGTTGATACTTGAAAAGTAATTGTCCTGCCAAGAATAACACCGAGAGGACAACTGCAGTGGACATCCAAAACAGATATTTTAATGTCAATGCCAACCAACCACAGTCCCTCATAACATAAAAAAAGACATTTTTACTCATTAGTGGATAGTTTTAATTTAATTTATTTACAGCTTAGCAATGTGGAGTGTTAAAAAAATGATAAAGTTCAGAAAGTGTACTTTAAATTAAAATCTTAGTTTTCTCTACCAGGATTACCTGATTCTACTATGATTAAAATAAATAAATAAATGACAAATATTTATGTTTTATTATTAGTCAATAAATATTCAATTTATTTCCAATATGGCACTGGAAATAAACAATACAGGAAAATATAGAGCATATTTCACTTTTTATGTTTTGTAACTCAGCTAAAGAAGAACTAAAGCATACTTCATTTACAGGTTTACAATGACAGATTTATCATGTTTTAGCATACAGGTACATGTAATGTGCTACACTTCATGAGAGATTTGTGTTTCTTTAAACAAGATCTTTTCAAAATGAATATGAGCTACCATTACAGTTTTAGCAAGCAAATTTGATTCACAATTACTGTGTTTTATGTGATAGAGGGAGAGCAGCCCATGTTACACAGCTCCACAGAAAATTTTACAAACTAAAGATAATTTGTTGTTTTTTTTTTGTATTAATGCTGCCATGGTAACATGTGATATCAACTTCATATATATCCAATTCTGCTAGTACTGACATCAGTCAGGACTTCCAGCTTGGATACTTCCATGTATCCCTCAGTGACTGATCACTTTCACGCAGCACATTGCACCTGACTAATGTGGTAGTCATTTGTCTGAAATGAGAACTCGCTCATGCTGCGAGTGATCATACAGTAAGTGTGTGTGAACGTGTAGCGACGAGATAATTCCAACACGCTCTTTGTGTTTCCCTCTGCCTCTTTTCCTCGTAAAGCCCAGCCCTTCTTGCTCTCCCCCTGCTTCCATACTCCAGCGCCTTTCGTATTACTGCGCTTTTGTTTCAGAGCACGCGTTCCCCACACCGCTTCCCCGGCTTGTTTTGCTCAGAAAGCGAAGACATGCAGGGAGGGAGGGCAGCAAAGAAAGACGGCAAGAGGAGACAGACGCTTCCTCGGATGTTGGTGTTACATGTGGCTTGTTACCCTTCTCTGATACACAGCTGCATCCTCCCTCAGTTGTTTAAAGAGGAGGTTGTAATATGCGCTTCATGACTGAATGTTTAATGCTTTGTTTTGTTTGTTTGTTTGTTTTGCACCTCTATACAGTGGTGGTAAAACGTCTCATTTGTAATAATAACTTTAATATCTGTAACTGATTTCTTCCGGTTGGCTTTTCGTCACACATAATTTTGTATAACAATTTTTAATGTCAAAGGTACTTTTAGAAAAATTATGATTTCACTTATTAAGGGGAGATAAGCTGTTCATATCAGCCCTGTCTTATATAAAAAACCCAGCCCCACCCCTTGTTATATTATGAATTAAGTATGATAAAGCTGTTTTTTTTGTTGAGAAATCAGTTAAATTTCAAAAGCCAACAGCAACAAAGTGAAGGTTTTTAATTGGTCTAGTCAAAGTATATACTTATCTGAGATGCTATTAGATCAGCTTATACAGTCCATTCTTTTATCATCTTGGATATCTATATTTAAATGTGGATTTGATACACTGAGTGTGGAAAAAGTGTGGAAAAAAAGTCTGGCTGAACTCTGTACTCTGGTCGTCTTTGTTGTCAAACTACAGTGGGAGACAAATTTGTACAAATGCTCAATAAGGAGCCTTTTTACGGCCGGGATATATTTTCTGAAAAATGGTGGAAACAGAAGGAGTTCAGCTCTATTTGCAGGAAAACCTAATTGGTCACACAGCATCATTTTGAGCAGGGATGCAGAGCTCGAGCAACAGTCACTAAAAGACCTGTCAGGTGGATTCTCATGTCGGTTACGACGCCTGCTCAGCTGTTTCAACCTCACTCGCGTTCTCCTTTCAGAACCTGAGGGCCTGTCTTTTCATTGACTAACAAAGGTGGTACATGTTTTCCACCAGAGGTGAGACCACTGTGTAAAATAAACACAGACAGAGAAACATAAAAGAGCCGTGACATCTTCGCTTTTCACTGTGTTGGGACGGCCGGGTGTGGAGCTGCAGGAGAACCAATTAATCAATAGCCACAAGGTCAGATGGCCAGCGCCGGGCTGGACCGTGCTCTGTTAGCGGCAGGCAGAGCCGTCTGCTGCTGAATGGGATTTGTAGCACTTGTCAAAGGCTTTAAAGGAGCTCTTTCTGGACGACTTGCTGCAGGTGGAAAGTATAAAAGAGGGAGGTGATTAGCAGCAGGAGAGGGAGACATCTGCTGGACACTGGGAGACACAGCAGCTTGTCAGGATAAGGACACCCGATGTTGTGGTTATGGTTTGTGCAGTTAGTACCAGAGGAAGGCGGTCTTGACTGCTTTTATAAACACCACTCAGTCGAAGCTGATAAGAATAAATAAGGTCTTTTGACAAATTCTTTCCTCCAGAATTTCTCTTTATTCATGCAAGCTGTGTGTTTAAGTGCACTCCAGGTAATTCCACCCTGGTAATGCTTAAACCGGAGAGGATTAGCAATACAGTGTCATTCTCAAAGTGCTCCTTTGAAGTTTTCCACCTTTTTTTTTTGCTTTTATCAAAGTAAAGAATTCAAGCTTTTTGAGTTCACATGCTCTTAAATGTGTGTGTCTAAGTTAAATGCTGTGCATTTATGCAGCAGTCAATCAAAGATAAGCACTCCAGACTGAAATGAAAACTCCCCGACCGAGCGTTTTGCCTCTGTTATGTTGGTTTCACTCGGTGGGGAATCTTGGGGGACCCTTTATCAGTGCCGAGCAGCTTTCTGGAGCCCTGCCCCCATACCCACCCACCTGTGGTTCCTCAGTCGGTCTTTTTGTGTGAAGGAATGTGGGAAGGACCAACACTGATAGAGATAAACACAGAGGGATGGTGAGGGGATGGAGGCCTCATCGGTGAACCAGCACGATACCTATTAATCCTGACTCAATCCTCCACTGTGAGATGGTTGGAGTTGTAGAATATGGGGCCAAGATTGTTGCTTCTCACTGATCCGAAAAGAATATCATGGTAACCCATGGCTCCTGTGCATTCAGAAAAACTATGGAAACATGTGGAATTTGATTTCAAGATTTTCCAGGTCTAGTAAAAGATTATGGAAAAAAAAGAGATTATGAAATAATGGTCCTGTTGGTCCATTCATCCATCTGATCTTCAGTGATTCCGTTTGTAAACAGGTTTTCTGTTCAAATGCCTGAAAAGCTGTTTGAACCTCGCAGGCTTAAAACTCCACACACAATGGTCCTGACAGTTCTAACAGATGTACATCTCCTGTATTTTTCTCTTTTTGCAGAGTAAAACACAAAAAAAACTTTTAATGGAGTCCCGGTAGAGACATCAAGATGAACACGTTACCATCAATGGATCGGCATATCCAGCAGACCAACGACAGGCTGCAGTGCATCAAACAGGTGGGCCTAAAGTGAAACTGCTGCTTTTCCTTTTTTACTGCTCTTTGAAAACGGACCCCAAGTGGGCAAAGACAAAAAAACAAAAAAATCCTAGCCTTACTTTCTCCTTTCAGCACCTTATTTAGGCATCAGTGTGTCAGTCGTACAGATCATGTTGCAGAGGACCACAGAGGGAGGAAATCTGCCTATGAACACAAGAGCAGACTTCAAAGCTGCACAGCAGACTCAGAGTTTGTCTCTCCTCGTTTTGTGTTCTCTGACATCATGCTGCCAGCTCCTGATGTATGCCAGCTCTCGCTGCCGTTTTGCCTAAATGCTTCCCTGACTGTCAGCTTTCAGAAGACTTCTCACAGACACCAACATATCCTGGGGTGTCCGCCTCTGCGTGTGATTAATGGTCTGTAGAGCTCATGGGCTGCTTGACTTGGTGGCTGGCTGATGGCATATTTGTTTATGATACGTGGGTGTGAGCCTTTATATCTTGCAACATCTAAAGATGCCTTGTCTTAATAAAATAAAAAAAATAAATGAAGAGGCAAATAATAGCGCTTTCATTTTGAGATTACGAGATGACACCTCTCTCCTTCTGTGTCTCTGCTGAACAGAATGAACTGATTCCCTCAGGTGGTCCAAAAGTATTCATACCTTTAAGCAATAGCATATAGTTGTAAAATTGTGAGAACTAAGATAACTTGAGCTTTGTCAAGTTGGCTTGGGAGCATCTGTTAATAGCACTTTTGAACAAATGATGCAATAATTTATCGTCTTTGAACAAAAGTGAACTTCGGTTGTTAGTGTTTTGCTGCCTCTAGTAGGTTTTCTACAGTCTACTCATCCTCCCATCAGCTCTGAACAGGACTGAATAAGATCATTTTCACACCATGATGCTGCCAAAACAATGTTTTTCATGGGTGCGGCGTGTCTGAGATGACGGCATTGTAGATTAACTTTCCATCACATGTAGATTTAATTTTGCTGTCTTACGAACAGAATATATTCTTCCACATGTTTGTCTTTGTCTCCTACACAGGTTGTGGCAAACAGCAAATGTGACTTGTTACATAGCTTTCAGTTAATGCTGGCTTTTATTGCCACTCTTCCGTAAATACCTGATTTGTGGCGCTCATGACTAATAGTTGTCCTGTCAAAACAAGTGACGCTTTGTGGTTTGTAAGAATACATTTCCAAGTTATTTGTAGATTGATTGAAACTGTCTGCGATTTCAAATTAATTTTCGAAAATCAAGTCACCTATGTTATTTTTTGTTGCTACTTTGATTAATGAAAGTCAGAACTAGTGGAGTTTATGCACACGCCAGCTCATGCTGTAAAATAAGTCATGGTAAAGCCAACTTCAAAGGGTTAGTCACTGAGCGTTCAGCTGCCAGAAGGGTGTTTCTTTGGTTTGGGAAAATCTGGCAGATAGCTGAGCACTTGCAGCACTTTATTAGAAGAAGCCAGGTAGAAACTGAACAGCCAAATTTAATGCTGCCTGAAGAGATGGTAAATCATTTCACAGAGGGCACTCTGTCAGTTGTTTGGCTCCTTTCGTGCTGCAGTCGCCACCGGTGGTCATTGCAATCCTCGTTCTTATCCTTACCCAACCCCTGAACAGCAATAACTACAGGAACAACTGTAAAATGTCCCACCCTCACCACTTTCTTTACATCATCTTCCTCCCCCTTCATACCAGAGCTGGGGTTGTCATTGGTGACCGCTGCATCAGGCGGAGCCGGGCTCAGTTCAAGACAAACAGCTCCTGCTGTGCAAGGTCTGATTTTCCTCATGCTGGAGGCTGATACGCCTCCCATCAGGCAGCAGTAATGCCTGATGATATCACTCATCCAGAAGAGGCTCTTGTCCTCTCACTCTTAATGAACAAGAGCATCTCTCTCTGACTTGCTGTTCTTGCTATCAGTCAAACACCTTCGAGAGTCCAAACCGAACTCTTCCAAGTTCTCTCTTGAAGCCCATGAGATCACTAAAGAGCGTTTTTCTGTAGGCATCCCCATCATGTTTGCAAGGAAGGTCCTTTTTTGTCATCAAATAGCTGCCCTTCCAGAAACACTCACCTTCGCTGCCCTCTAAGAACAATAGTTTTACCTCCTCTGCAGGAAAACACAAAACAAGATGCTTTAGCTCCAGATAGGAATAATAAAAGCTTTCAAGTGGGCTCCAGTCTCTCCAACTGAGCAAGCCGGAGCTCTGTGCCGTTTCAGAGCTATTAACCTTCTGAGGAGTGAAGAAAGGGAGCTCAATTTTAAAAACCGCTTATTGTGTCCTGCTAGCCTCAGAAGCCCTCGAACAGTGAGAAGAAAGGACTCGACTGTTTCAGGCCTCAGTGAACAAGCGAGAGAGGCAGACAGAGAGTGAAAGAGATTAGACAACACACCAACGGCTCACATTGAGCCTGCACACATAGCTGCCAGGACCAAGGTTGTTTTCTTTGTGCGCAGCCAAGTCAGGCAGTGGACCTCTGGTGTGTTACACTCTGAAAACCGGCAATGAATAAGGCAAAGAGTGAGAGAGGGAAAGAGAAGATTGGAGGGAACGGTTCGTTTGCTGTGCGGGTCATGGAGGCGAGGGATGGGTGTTGCCAAGAGAGATTAACAAGAAACACTGGCATCATTGTTGATATGGGTGTGATCTTCTTCCCACAATGCAGCAGAGCTCCAAGTGGGCGTAGATTGGAAAGAGTCAAGGTCCTCACAGGGTTGTGCAGAAACACAAGACGTTAAATCAAGGCAGGTTGGAGGCTGCGGAACGATTAGGTTTTCAGTGTTTTTTCAATTTGTACCAAACGTGAGGAAAGAAATAACACTTATTCTTTTCACTTCTAATGGGTCTATGTGTGTTTGCACAGCACTTACAGAACCCGGCCAACTTCCACTCGGCTGCCACGGAGCTGCTCGACTGGTGTGGAGATCCCCGGGCCTTCCAGCGACCTTTCGAGCAAAGTCTCATGGGATGTCTGACGGTATGCAAACTACAATTATGGTTTTGGTCTTTTTTTTTTTTTTTTTCAGGTACTTTTTAGAAGACAGGAGCAAAACAATAATTAGACTTGCATAGTTCAGTGCAAAAACAGAAGACGAGACAATGTGTCCACATCTTTTATGTTTCAATGTTTGGACTGTGTTTTTGTTTTTCTGCAATTTAAATGCAATTTCTAAAAGGTTATCAGCAAGGCTTTCTAATTATAACCAGGTCTGAGATCCTCACATTAGAATAACCTTGAGTATTAAAACAATAGTTTTAAACAAATAAAAGCATGCTCAAGGACAATGTGGAGGAAATGGCTGTTAAAAGCGAAAACACAGAGAACAGAACAAAATTAAACATCTTAAGAAAACTCAGAAAAATGTTCTTTAATACATTTTGAATTGGTTGTGGATGAGATTTTCTAGGAATGATTGCTCAGCGTTAAATCAGTGTTAGCATCGCGAATAATGTGGTATGTCAAAGGAAGTAGAAGATGTGGATCTCAAAATCTATGAAGGAATATCAGTGTGTCAATATACAACAGACATGGAAGTGCAACATTATGGGGAGACTTAAAAGTAAGAAGGAGGGGATTAAAATCAATGTCGTATGTAACAGAAAAAAAAGTTATTGAAGGACAGAATATCCTCGGTAGAAGGAAGCCTGGTAATAACCTTGGCAGCGGCATTTGTGACCAGTTGAAGTGCAAAGGGTACTAAGCAAATGGTACAAACTGAATATAATCTCTGCTGGAGAACATAATGAGAGATATTATCAAAATCAAAACTCTGATTGATGGTTAACAGCACAAATTCAGTCAATTGTGATTTTGACCAGGGCTGCTTTTATACAGGTACTGTATCTATAAACCAGACTGGAACTGTTCAGACACATTGTTATTGGTAAACTAAGAGAAGGTGCATGCCAGCACTCTATCTGTCATGCTGTTCCTACAGTCTGCTTTTTGCTACACAAAAAAATAGGAACATTTTATTTTTAGGGAAAGTTTCAGCAGTCTTCTCTTTGTCAGTGTGCAGCAACAGATGGAAGAGGGGTTCTCAACGGGCCATGCATGCGGAGAATTTCAGCCCCTGCAGCATTTTCTCTGGCATCCTGTTCTTTAAATTGGTGGAACAATATAAAGGATTTTCTTTCTAACAACATGCACACGTTTAGTTCTACCTGAGCCCTTCCAGCAGGCATAAATATTTAACTTCAAAAAAGCCCAACTCCAAGGTTATTGTTTCCAGCCAATATTCTTGTGAGAGCAAACAGATAAATGATCGTTAACGTCTAAATCAAAATAAAAGCCTCTTAAAGGGTGATAAAGAGCTGTACAATGGAGCCCACTGCCAGAATCCCTCTCAGCATGGGGCTCTTTCCATCAGCTAAATTGTTTCATTAGACTCTGAGAACAAACTGCTGCTTATCTGAAGAATTACTGCAAGCAACAAGTCGGAGCATTCTTATGAGTAACTCTGCAAATCAAACGGATGCCACATGCGAGGCTGCTTGTTCTGTTTGTGATCTTCTGCATGTGCAGCTCTTCCACGGTGGCTCCAGAAGCAATGAAAGTGACACAGCTTCTGCCATTGCTATCAGCTTTTTCTTTTTCTGAGATGTAATTGTAGCTTTTGTCTGTATATGTGCATTCTGTGTCAAGTTGGTGTGTAAAGTCAGCGGATTCAGATGTGCTGCACGATTTATTTCTGTTCAAAAGCAAACCTAAAATTGTATTGACTTGCAGTTATTTTATAATGCATAACTTATTGTGTACTCTGGGTACAGATATGTGGTGTTATCTGCTGTTCAAAAGGGACAACGAGAATTCTATTAAATCTGCAATATTTAACTTTTACGAAAAGTTTTGGCAGTGTAATATGAGACAGACAATCAGCGAAAAGATTGATCTCTTCCGACTTCTCCCTGTGCTCTGATTGGTTGTTTCCAGTTAGCACTGGAGGCGGAGGTGCTCATATTTTTTTGCAGATCAAAAAAACTGAGTAAATTGAAACTGCCAAGGTATAGTGACAGTTTCAACAAATAGATATATAAAAATTTTACATAAAAGTAACATACTGTACCTTTAAGTAGCACACATGCAATCAAATTCATAGAAGAAAAAATTACTTCTTGAAAATTATCACATACCTAAGTCTTTGTCTTGCAGCTAAAAGGTCCTGGATGCCACCGAGTCTCTGCATGGAGTTAGCGTGTTCTGTTCACGCATTTGTGGTTTCTCCCTCGGCTCTCCGGCTTTCCCCCTACATTCTGAAAACATGACTGTTTGGATAATTGGTTTCTCTAAATTGTCCGTAGGTCTGAGTGTGTGCATGGTTAATTGTCCTGTGTCTGTGTATCCCTATGGTGTACCGACAGTCTGTCCAAGATGCGTCCAATCTCTTGACCTCTAACCACAAGAGATAAGTACCTACTCTTCAATGAAGCTAGATGGATAGATAGATGTTAGAACTTACTTAAATATGCCGCCAGGATTTATTAAAAACTCTACAACAACTGGAACTGAAGTGAAAAAGATTGGACAAGATCTCAAGCTTATTTCGAGAAGGTTAAGAAAATATCCCAGAGGCTGAAAGTTATAGAATTGCTGCAAATAGTGGCATCCTGGGATCACTAAGTCTTTATCTGCATGCTATCTCCAACTATCTACATACCAACTGGTTGTTCTAACAGCATGAAAGAAGAAAACATATATTTGCCTGGAATGATTGAAAAGTCTAGGTCCCAGGACTATCTTGAGAATTGTGCAAAGGGGAATGATCTTTGTACCAGGCAACTGTATAAAATGAAATGAACTGGCAGTTTACAGAACTGTCTCCTCTGGACCTATCAGAGGTTATTGTCAATCAGAAGCTGACCTGAGGCAAAATAGGATGTCCATTTTCAGCAGAAAATGGACATCAGGAAAAAGCAGGATTAAACCACAAAGCTGTTTCGTTTTATTTTTATTTCTTCTCCAGGAAGGAGAGATAAACACAAATCTGAGCAACCCACTAACCTTGCAGCACTTATTCCAACACTGTTTTCATATTGACAGAACTATGGCCCCGCATGTACATCCTCCGAGGGAGATTAGGCTGAAAAAAAGGCTTATGAGGTGAAACACTGTTAAATCCATGTCGAATCTAGGCTGGCCTTCGTAGCTGGCCGCCTGCCTCGTGTAAACCGAGGGGCCAGCCCACTTACGAGGGAAATCAAACGATTGACAGCAACTACTTTGACCGTTTTTCCGCAGAGGTTGCATAATAGTTTTTGGCCAGATGGATTATGTTGACGCGCTGATGACGCCTAAACATGTCTAGATAAATGTAATACACTCACTGGAAGTATAAAGTTATTTGTGATGATTAATTCCTGCCTAATAAATTTAGTTGCTGACACAGGTTTTATGTACGTTTCGTTTGCTTTGTTGTTTGTGACAAATGTCTATTAGGGTTGGAAAAGCCGGTGGGTGTTGAAGTGGTTCCCCTCTGCATATGTCTCTGCAATCTTATTTTACATCCCTCGGGATTTCTTGTAATATCACGTTAAAGTCTAGAGGTTTTACTTATGGTCTCGAGAATAATTGGCGTTTCCCTGAAGTTATTTCACAGGCCCTTGCAAAAATATTTATAACCCTTACATTTTTTTTTACATGCAGTAAGTTATTTGGAATGAAAAATGAAAAGCTCACTTTACCTTGAACACACCATGCCCACAGTGAAACATGGTGATGGCAGCGTCATGACTGGGGATTATGCAGCGCTAACTACAAATGCGTACCACATTTATTTATTTATTGTCAAAAAGATTTCAAAATGATGAATCATTTCTTTCTATTCATCTGGACGAGTTTACAATATTTCTGGTGTATTTGTCAAAGCTTAAAATTGTGAAGGAGGGAATCTAAACCTGAAAACCAACTAAGATGTGTTGATCAGGGCTGAAGGGGTATGTACAGTAAATAAATCACACGAGGTTAAAAATGGCCGGGTTTTAATACAGGCTAAAAAGACACTTCCTGATTTATGACTTCTTCTGCAGGTGGTGAGCCGCGTTGCCGCCCAGCAGGGGTTCGACTTGGACCTGGGCTACAGGTTGCTTGCTGTGTGTGCTGCCAACCGGGACAAATTCACTCCTAAGTCTGCAGGTAAAGACCCTCCAGCTAAGCAAAAAAATGCAAGCTGATGCATGTTCATCCATCACGCCATTTAGTACTGCTGACTTAGAAAAACAAAATTATCTCATTAAATCGCTGCTTTAAACTCATTGTTAATTTACCAGATTATGCAGTGGACCTATAACCGTTAAGTGCTCAAAAGCAAATAAACGCACATGTTAAAGTTCCCATAAATCTGAGATTTGGAAGTGTTTGATTTCTGTTCACCAACAGCAACTCCAGACAGCACACAAAAAGCCCAGAGTATGATAATGTCACGATATTTTTAGATGCTATTAAACATTAATGTGCTATTGAGATGAGTTGTCTGAGTGGAACCCTCAGAAAAACAGTCTACTCAACACTAGCAGGCTGTGTGGCCCTACCTGTGTGAGTGCGCTTGCGTGTGGAGTGTGAGCTGCATGCGCGCGCACACATGTAACAGGGAAGGGTAAGCAGTAATGCTATCCTCAGACATTTATCTATCAAATCCAATTTCCTCCAATCCATACCTCCCCTCCCAGCCTCCTGTGCTTCTCTAGCAGCAGCTGGTTCTTGTGCATTTGTCAGAGTGAAGCATGCCGAGGCAGAATGGAGAAGCGAGGGGAGGGAAATAAAGAGATGGATAGCTGGAGATGTGTTGCTCGGAGGTGCCGGACCCTTCACGAGGCCGTCGACAGCCACACGAAACACAGATAAACCTTTGCTCAGCTGGTTAGATAAGCAGGAGAGTTAAATATTTTGATTAAACGCTTTGGTTTCTTTGTGGTTTTTGACAAGCCAATTATCTCACATGCGCAAAACAGGAACTGCGGTGACTGAGAGTAGCGCTCTGTAATCTTATCCCATTATTCTCCATGCAAGCCCCATTGTGTTGCAGCGTTCCGCTCAAAAGGCAGAAACGTATCAGCCTCGGCGTTTTTCACTCACATTGTCCTCGATAAGTACATTTACTAAAGCTGAATATCTTCTTTCAGTTGTGGCAGACAGCATCTTGTTGGGAGGAACCCTAAGTGCTCTGACAGACGTCAGCACACAATATTGATCGCTGTATTTCTCTGTCTGTCTGTGTTCTTCTGTCGGGATAATGTGATTGCTGTCCAGGCACGGCCCGGACTGGCTGGCTGGGCCCGGCTGACAGTCGGAATCATCTTCAGGGCTGCTGATGATTCTGGGATCTATTAGGAGGCAATGTGGAGTTTCAGGAAAAGCTGTTTATACATGCTGGACAAATGGGAGAGTTAGTGTAATTATTCAGGGTCAGAGCAGAAGATACGACCCAGGCATTCATCACATGAGGATGGCAGGCGGACTGTGAGTAAAGGGGGATCGTCCATACATGGACGTTTGTCTGGGAAAACAGACGGGATGGAGGAGAAAGTAAACAAAGCGGATTAGGTTTACCTTCACTGTTCTGTTCATAAGACATAAACATTCACATGATAAACAAATAAAAATGTGCTCATACTTGGTGATTTGGAAGGAGAAGGATTCATCTTAGTGGTGGGCAAAACTTGAACTTAAAATTGTATCGCAATATTTTTTTTCCCTACTGTTATATTGATAAAGTTTAAATTACTAATTTTTTAGGTAACTATGTCAGTGACAACATTCAAACAAGATGTTGTTCTTGAAAAACATTCTCATTTAAAATAGGCTTCTTCAGGATGCCACTTTATTAAAAGTATGATTTATGCTATAAAGTTCACACAGTAACTACATTTCTTCATATTTTAGAGTTTAATTACATTTATTGATGATCTCAAGGAACCAACAGCAGAGGAAAAAGCACAAATAACATTTACAACCACTATCAATTTTGTGTTTCTATAAAATGTTTCTTGATAAATATAAATAGAATGCATTATGAGAAATGACCATAATTCATAATTTTACACTTATATCATGTTCAAAATAAATAAATAAATAATTAAATAAAAAAAATTTCATTACTAAAAAAATCTGGAAAGGGTGGCATGCATTTGTATTCAGCCTGCTTTACTCTGTTACCCTTAAATACAAACTAAGTAAATAATAAATGAGAGTTAGCAGATAGATGAATGGACGTAAATGTTGTTGAATCCTGGAATTAAACCCACTGGAGGCTGAAAATGACCTCAAACTGACCTTTCAGTCAGACTACAGTCCTCAGTGCAAGACTTGACAAGTGATCTTACCTGATTCTTATTCTGCTTTTCAAATAAAATGAGTTTGATGTCTCTGTCTTAAAAGGTTGTTAGACATGTCAGCAGACTACTTTCAGCTATAATTGCAAGAAAATAGTTCTGTGTGTTATTCAAATATAGGACTGAATAACATTTTCAGTTATTAAAAAAAAAACTTCTTTCTCCTTCACAGTTGTGTCAGTAAAACTAAACTAGAAAAAATTAGCATTTGCGGTCGTATTGTGAAAAAGTTGAAGAAGTATTCCTCCTCTTGCAAGACGCACTATCAGTCTGTGCATTCATGGGAAGTATGGCCAATTGTGCTGCCTCAGCGTAATCTTCTGACAGTCGGCATGGCGACAGAGGCCTGCAGATCTGACACCTGAGAGCCCAGAACAGGGCCGATAAGTCTGGGGCGCTGTCTTCAGTCTCCTCGAGGAAATGATTCATCAAGGAAATATTTACTTTCGAAACATCAATCAAAATTGAAATGAGCTGAGCTATTTCTTTCAAGACAGACATGTTTAATAAATGCTAGACTTTCTATTGATCGTGTGAGAGAAATTGTTTTGATTCAGCAACAAACTAAAATACGACTCTTAGAAATGCAGTCAGAGAAGAAAGAAAAGCTGCGCAAGTAAAATAAAAAATTACAACTGAAACCAAATTTAAATGTAAATCGAAATAGATATTACAGCAGTGTACTGTATGCATCAGAGGAGCCCTAATAATCCTGCAGACCATGATTGGATTTGGTCTGTTTTCTGTTGGTTTGAACTAAACTTTGAAGATAAGTGAAACCGAAACACACGCAAGACAAGAAAAGATAGGCCAATATTTCAGGTGGTTGAGTAGGTGTTTGCATTTTCTTCACAAGAAAAACCAGCTTCAGAATAATAAAAACTTATAATTATTGACTTGAAATGTCTGCTGTCAGTTTAGGCCACAAGAGAAACTTGCATAGGTTAGTATCCAGTAGAAAAGACATGTTTTGTATGTCAGCTTTTTGTCATTTGTAGATCTCAGAGAACTATAAAGGCCTGGTTCTGTGAAAAGGAAAAGAAGGCCTCTTCCCTCTGCGACCCATCCAACCAAGTGGAGAGATTTTCAGCAACAGCAGGCTGCTGCTGATGAGCTGTCTGGAGATTGTGACCCTGCAGTGAAGCCTGGAGGATTATTGTGCTGCTCTAATCTGAAATCAGCCAGTGAAGAGACTTATCTGCTGTTGGGCAATGTAACATTGGCCCTGTTAATTCTTGGAGTAAAGACACTCAGCTCTAATGCTGTTTATATTCTTGTACCTGTGGCTGGAAGCTTTCGGTCTCTGATCGGTGGTTACTGAGGTTTGGGCTTACATTGTCATTCTGTGACAAAGCTGTCTCTTTAAACGTCCTTCACAAATCCTTGTAAGCATTTCGTACTTGATAATCTGTCGTCTGTTACCAGTAGACTTGCAGCTCATTAGAGGTTTGTCATAAACTAGGTGTGCAGCTGCCCTACAAATACAACCCAACCCAACAGACTGAGCTGTTGGGATACTGTGAAGTTCAGCAGACAGCAAATCAGATTATCGCCGTAATCCCTCCTGGGTTTTGCTGTTTCCATCCTCAGTGAATATGCCAGTCTGTCATCAAGCTCGTAGCCGTTCTCTTTATGAAGATAAACTCGGATTAAATGTCAAAACTGTTATATTTTCCAATGAGTTGTATCTTGAATAGACATTCTCCAAGTTGCAGATAATTTGTCTTTGGAGTGATATTTGTCCTCTTTTTTGTTTTAATGATTCAATCAGATATGGCAGCTGCTCGTTGGTTCTCTGTGTTGTTAAAGAAATATTTATTTATTTTAAATTGCTGACCCGGTTGACTGTCCTAAGTATTCTTGGCTGAGAAATTTACACGGCACTAAAACATTTGTTTCAGTATTAGTCATGCGTTGGCTTCAGCTGATGAAGAATGAAAGTTTGGTGGGAAACAACACTAAGAACAAAGCTTCTTTTTTCTTCTTCTTCTTCTTTTGACTTCTTGCATCCCTCCCACACGCTCACATATGCATCACTAGAGCTACCTTTGCAGACAGAAGCTGTCACAGCTCAGTAAATGGACAGAGTGAGACCTGCTGAAGTCACATCAGGAAGTTCTGACAGAAAACTTCCAGGGTGTGGCTGCAGCTGACCTCGTGTCCTCTGACCGACACACAACCCTAAAGCAGACAAGTCAACGCAGGCACTTCCATTAAACTAAAAGTGTCCTCAGTTTTTCTGCTTTTAGGTGACAACAATGTAATACGTGCAAATGCCAAAGTAAAATTCCTTTTTTCGTTCTTTTTTTAGATTTTGTCACTGCTTCTGGGAATGGGCAATATGACTAAAACTATTTATTCCAACATTACTAAAAGTGATTGAAAAAAGATTTAAAGATTTATTACCACTATAGGTGATCAAATACTGCTCTGAAAATATAACTTCTTTTGCACACAAGTTATATAGGGTGGTGCTAAAGTACTAAGATGGTCTCGTGAAACAAAAAGTGGATAAAAATAGTCAAAAACTGGGATTATTATCATTAAAACTGTAGGTTTAAAACAAAAACATTAAATGCATTAGGGCATAGTTGTAAAGTTGATAGAGATGTTTGTTGAGGTTTTTTTTTAGGTTCGTAAAAGTAAACATCTATAAAATGTTGCCTACAACCCCTCTAGGATTGCTACTATTACAGCTGCAGCTATTTTGGTGCGTTTCCCTCACAGCGATGCAAATCTAGATTGTGGCAAACTGGTTTCTGCGATTGGTTTCTTTTTGCTCTTCCGCTGTAAAGAATGCATTTG